CATTGGCCTACTACGTAAAATATATGCCAAACTAGGCAAGAATCTTTGACGCCTCAACTGCAAGATTAGCAAATCTATTTTAGTTAGTAAGCTAGGACATTTATTTGCACCGCCTATAACAATACACTGTGCTTAATTGAAATCCATGTCTAAATCCACATTTGGCTTAAGCTCTTTTTGTAATTCGATTCAAAGAGAACAAAAAGAAAAGCCCATGCAATTCGCCGACAAAATAACAATTTGTGAGCAATTCGCAAGCGATCAACTGACAATATGTCACTGATGGACTGATCGAGCCATTAGCATTCAAAATAAAGTCAATAAGAGTCCGGCCGTGAAATCGAACTGAGAAGTTATGAACAGAAATTAACTGCAAATCGTTAACAATAACTCAGCTCCGGCTCGGATTGGGGTGGGATTGAGTGGAGCCGCGTTTGGATTTGCTTTTGCATTTGCATTTACATTTGCATTCAAGGCGAGGCGAGGCGAGGATCTTCGCAGTTACATTTTATGTGCATATTTCACGCCAGTTCCAGTCGCAGTCCGGCATCGGGTACAGGTCCCAGGCGCGATCGCAGCTCTGTCTGTTCGCGGCCCACGACGAATTCATAAAGTATCTCGCACTTTTTAATGATTTCTGAGTTACAAGCTGAGTCGAGAGCTGGAGCTGATGCCGAAGCTGAAGCTGAAGCTGAAGCTGAGAGACTGGACTGAGACCGGCTGGCAGCTCCGCTCGCAGCAGGTACAATGCAACAATTTGGCGGCAACTTATGACAGCGCAGCGATCGCAAATAAACTCAAATGGCGGCCGCACCAACTGATCCTGATCTCAGTTAGCTCCAAACTCCAAGCTTCCAGCTTTAGTGTGGGGCGCGAGAATTTATGCGGCTCTTTGCCAGCGACGACGTCGTTGTTGTTATCATCGTCGTCGTTGTCGTTGTTGTTGCTGTTGTTGCTGTTGTTGTTAGTGCTGTTGTTGTTGGCGCTGTTGCGGCGGCTTTCGTGCGCACTTAAATTATGAATATTACCAAATGGGTCAATTCGAAATAAATAAGCAAACGTTGCCGGCCTCGCAGTGCCCGGCAATACAGCCAAATAGAGTTGTCTCTGTCGCAATTTCTCATTGAGCTGTCGTTCGGTTCGATCGTCGTTGCTTGGCCCCAGCCAGAGAACACAAGCTCCATCCAGCCAGCCGATTTGGCATTGGGCGGCGTTTAATATCGCTCATGCATCTGGTAATCTATGCGCAATTAGCTGCGTACATCAGATTTAGTGTTCTGATTGCCTTTGCCTGTCTCTCTTCTCTCTTACTACCTCTCCCTCTCTTTCTCTCTCTCGCTCATTCTTTCTCTCTTGTCGCTTATTGATCATAAATATGATGAGTTTTTCTTTTTTTTTTTTCTCATATCCCATCTAGTCAATATTTAAGAGACAAGCGGAAATCTATTTAATTTCCCAATAAATGCAAAATTTGTGTCGGCAATCGAAGAGAACGAGATATGCTTAACCAAGAGCATTGGCTGTGTAGATCTATGCATATAGAATAGTATAATATAGTATATACATATGCCTATTGTGTATATATATGTTGCTGATATTATAGTGATACGATTTCATTGTATAGACTTAAGCTATATTCATGTTTTTTTGACTCAAGTGAAATCTAAATATATACACATATTTATCCATAGTTCACCATAAATAGATGAGTTTTACTATTTCTTAGAATACTTTTTCTCAGCATTACAGATTCTATCTTTCTGTGCATTCAAATAAAATCAAAATATAATCGCGTATTTCTTGAGTATTATCAAACAACTTGAAGAATTCTCTTGCTTATTCTTAGATAACTATTCGTTAGTATTACAGATTCTGTTTTTGAGCAGTTAAATTCGACTAGAATAGAGTAAATATATTCATGGTCCGTGCGGTGCCATTATCCACAGAATTTTTAACATATTTCTAATGGTCTTAAATCATTTAAACGGTACCTCACTGCATAGCGGATAGATCGTAAAACGGAAATGTTTGTAGTCGTCATTAGAGTCGTAAATTTCGGTAAACGCGCTTAAGTGATTTTCACACTAAAAACAGCGGGTCCCTTGGACCATACGAAATGGTTTGGCCGCAAGTCTCCCCGCCTCTCTCTCTCACAGTCCGTCTCTCTCTCTCACTCTCTGGTTCATTGCAATGGCACAATGGCTTTATGCTCTCACATAAAATTAAGTTTTATGGACGCGTATGAAGGAACACAGTTCGACAATTAAAGAACAATAAAAGCCACTTTGATGATAGCCTCCACTTGGATGCTGGATGCTGCCACTCGCTCTAGCTCTCTCTCTCTCTCTCTCTCTCTCCCTCTCGCTCACGCTCTCTCATTTGCCGCTGATTCATTTATGACCGTCAACAGTTTTGACATCTGACAAGTCGGGTCAACAATGAGGTGCAACTGCAATCTGGCGGTACGACAAATCTGTCACGCCTGCTCACCTGGCCCCAGACGCTTGTTTATTGTCAAATGATGGCTGAGCTCGTAAAATTTGTAATTTTATGGGCTCGTTAAACCTTAGGACACGACGGAGCAGCCTCAATGGCATTCGGTGTTTATTTAATTAGAACTTTTCATGCGACCCTCCGGCAAATAAATTCCAGCTTGAAGGTGTGAAGTGAACAAGCTATCCTTAACATTTGAACTATGCACATATACATATGTATGTATATATGTATATGGTTTAAGTGTACAGTCAATTAGCCTGGCTGACGCCCACTTGGCTGCGTTGATGATAAAAATTTATGGCATTTGGCAACTTAAAACAAAGCGCAGCTTCAGCAACAAATTGTGATATTTACGATCTGGCTGCCTTGGGGATCCCACGCGTCACGCATGCGCCCCAAACGGAAGCGCTCCAACCAAATGCCGGACAGCTTTGAGTCACGACACACGCTCGAGGATCGTTAAGTGTGCACTTAACACGGACTTATTACCTCCACCCACAGCACAAGAATATGGGCTCTAAAATCACAAACTCTGTGGGCTGAACAACCCAGTAATTGCAACTGCCTCTGTTTATCTCAGTTCTTTTTCTCTCTTCTCTCGCTCTGCTCATCAAATTGATTATTTTTACATTAAAGCAATGAGTGTAAATGTATGGGTAATACGAGTGTTACGCTTAATAGGCATATACTTTCTTTTTAATATATTCTTTCTAGTAGTTTACAGCAAGCTGGCCTTAGATATGCAAAGATTTTAGCCTGAGGCTTTATTATTTTTTTAAAATATGATCTGCTCTGCTAAGACTTTATTCATTTATTATTCACTCTATTCACTTTCATTCAGTTCATTCACGCTTTTGCAAGCAACTCTAAGCGCATAAAAACTTGAACACATATCGTTTTAATGACCTCTTTTATGGCAAGTATATTTAATGCCACGCCCCCACCTCCCTTGGGCACGCATTATTTCAGTTAATTAAAATCCTCAACATTTTTATAGCACCCAAAGAGCAAAC